GGGTGTTAATTGATTGTATTGTCTATTAACTTAGTTGATTAAGGGGAAAACAAATTTAATGAGGAATTTTTTACCTTAGAGTTGGAAGGAAGTTACTTCATATTTTTTAAGAGTAAATAAATGTCATGTGGTCAGTTATTTAATTGGTGTTTGTTATATGGATTAGATTGGATATAATGACTTAAAACAGTCATTATGCACAATTGGAGCTATCCGTACCGTTACAAAAATGTAAAGTGTAAATTATTATAGAATGGATGCCTGAAAGCATGAAATCTATAATTCACATTGAGGTAATCTCTTTCAATTCACTCCATTGTGCTCATATTTTACTCTTCCAACTGCAAATTTAGTTTATGCTTTAGAAATTGTGGTGAGCATGTCACGTTTAATGAAAAACAAATCATTTTTTTCCTTAGAGTTGGAGGAAGTTGCTTCATTCATTGTTAACGCTATATTTTATTATATTTAGTTATTTATCTTATGGATGTTGCCGATGGTAGTGGTGGAAGTTGTGAAGTATGGAAAAAATGTCGTAGAGAAATTTATGCTAAAGCAAAAGAAAGTTGGAATTCACGACGTCGAGAATCATACGCCGAAGCAAGAGAGTTGCGTGATGCATGATTACAGGAAGTGGATGCTCAAAGAAGAGCAACTGCAAGTACACATAATCGTCATCTAAGAAGGAAGAGAATATTAGAAGAAAGTATTTGTAAAGAGTTTACTTATACTGCTTTTCCAGGAAAATAATTTGATATGTTAAGTTTGTCTATTATATATGTTAATTGATGTGGATATCTTTACTTATTTTCTTTTCATTCTTTTCGTGTGTGCAGCTCTTGCATTGAATTCCACTACACCTGATGCATCTGCAGAATTTAGCTATAACGCTTCTGAAATGGATACACATTTTGTCATTCCATACAATCTTCTGTGTGTGAATTTCATAGGTATACTAAAATGTTTTCATAGAGGTATTATGGTTTATTTTTTCATAACCTACATGATAAAAATTGTTGACTAT